TATACGTCCAAACATTTGTACGTCTAAATCTATACGTCCAAACATTTATACGTCCAAATGTGTACGGCTTAATTTGTACGTCGAAATCAGTACATCTAAATATATACGTCTTAACATTTATACGTCCAAATCTTTGTACGGCTAAATCAATATGTCTAAATCAATACGTCCAAATGTTTACGTAGTCAAATTTATACGTTGGAACCTTTGTACGTCCAAATCTGTACGTGTAAATCAATACGTCCAAATTTATGCCTGTGTTTTGTGTTCTTTTGTATACGTTTGAATGTATGTATCTTTTTTACGTCCATTTTTGATGTCTATTTGTTATCTTCCCTCTCTGCAACGAGTGGTTAGTTTTTATATCTCTTATTCAGATTGCATTTTTTTTTAGTTTATTTGTTTACATTTAGTGAAGTTTGTTATTTGTGTAGTTTTTTATTATTGTATTGTATGAATATAATTGTTAGTGTTACATCAAATGTGTTTCAAGCACAATTAATAATAGCAATTTATAATTTGAATGTTATTACAACATAAGCAGTTTGTTTCCAATTATGTGTTTCACAAATGGTGGTGGTGGGTGCATTCCAGTTTCTCATATCTGTTTAATCTTATCATAAACATGATGGAATTTTATTCATCATGGATTCAAAATATTCGTGGTTGAATATTGTTTGTTAAGATATGTTTGTTTTCTCTTTAGAACTCATCGCATCAATGAACTTGATTATTGAAGATTATGGAAAATTATGATTGGAAGCAGAAGTAGATGGTAGAATCACATATGTAAAGCATTGTTTTTGGCACTACAGATGGATGGTAATGTGAAAAAGCATTCTATGGTCTATACGAGGTTAAAATAAGTATCTCATCATTTTTTTATTGATAAACATCTGAATGTCTATTTAAATTATACATTTATCACTTTTTAGAAACGAACAAACGTGCAAAAACTATATCTCTATCGTCTGGAGAATGGAAGATCAAAATTTCTTTCGATACATTCTTAGGCGTATTATACTAAATAGCAGTTAAAACATTGTATTGCTGCTTTTTATTGACATATAGAAGTTGAAGTCTATATTATTCAGCATGATTAGTAAGCTGACTTAAACCATATTGCTAGTAAGCTGTTTATCGTTTTCATTAGCTTGACACACTAAGAACTATATATGGAAATTTTCCAAACTAATACTGAATTAGTCAATGAGATATGCCCGCACCAGTGAATTAATTCTATTCTCAGATTATTCTTGAAAAGCTTCGAAAGAGTAATAATTGATAAACATATTTTTTCGTTATTCCAAGTTATTTTAGGTTTTTGTTCGCAAAACAAAGCAAATATTTAATTATTTATTTATTGACTTGGTTTTTATAACTTGTAGTAAATTTAGAATAGGTGATGGAAAATAGTTTAATTTTACCTAAATAAATAAAATAAACATTGATCTCTTTCTTGTGCTACTGTGTTTGTAAAGTCGCGCGCATCTCTAAGTTTTTCTATTATTTTTGTAGATGACTTCTTCTTCAACTCCTATATTGGCTGATTTTTCAACGTTATTAACTGAAAATCTCGTAAATATTGAACAACAACCACCACTTGAAATTGCAAATGTTCTTGTACCATATAAAATGCATTTTTCTTCTGAATATGAATGGATGAATGGTTGTATCCAAACTTATGGAAAATTATCATGCGATGAACCAGCGATTTATGCTGGAATATTAACCTTAATTAGTGCAATATCTGGTTCAACATTTTATGTTGATGAATGTAATGGACAAGAACGTCCCATAAATTTGTATGTTCATGTTATTGGTGAACCAGGTGTGTATTTGTACGGGACTATGAGTGTTATTGCCATATAATCTTGTCATCTTGTTGATGTGTTGTTAGCACCACCTCCAGTATGTAGTCATGAGTGTGAGCTGAGTTTTGGAGGTTTTCCATATGAAATATGTAAGACGGTATATGAATGAGGATGTCAAGTGTGGAATAATTTGTATTATGTTCGTAATCACTTTTTTAGGTAGTGGTAAATCTACTCCAGTGAATTACATAAAAGTAGCTATGTGCCAACTTATCGATTTATTTCCTGATTTATACAATAAGAAAGTAAATATAAATGATAAAATTATTAAAATGTCATCTGATGTACTACCTGATACTCATGATAATACATCAAATAATACACAATCCGGTATTGCAAGTAAAACCAAAAGTAATTCAAATGATTGTAGTAAAAAAAAATTAGTGGAAGAACGTGTGAAAATGATCGTCAATTTTGACACCGAATTGGCTTTATTTCGTCAAATGGCTCTGGTCAGTATCCGATTTTTTTAACTTCTAAATTTAAAGACTAAATTAAATATATTAATTTTTCATAGATTGGTGATTTGTTTGCCATTACTGACGAATTGGATAGTCAATTAGTTCGTTTGGGTGTCTTTAAGTCTAATGATGATACAGCAGCACCTGGTTCTAAATTGTTAACTCAAGCATACGATGGGATTCATCATGAATCACGTGGAACAGGAACATCAAAATATGTTATTGATAATGCAAAATTGGCAATTTTCGGTGCATCTACTGGAAATCGATATACATTCAACATGCGCAACTTTGCACAAAATATAGGCAATGATGGTGTTCTTGTTCGAATATCTTACCTAGTTATACCTCATGGAATACCCAAGTCCGTTTGTAACCGATTGCCAATTTCAATGCCGAATGCGTTGCATATTGCTACTGTAATTTCATTATTAGTAAATTGTGGTTATCCTGTGCAACTACGTTTCGAGAAGCTTCAATCAGATCTCGATAATGAACCACCAGGTGCGGTTTTTTCTTTAAAAAATAGTTCAAAATGTTGTTTTAAGAAAACGAGATTGCGAAATTTATCAAAATAACTATTTTACAGCAAATTCTTTCATTTCAGAGTAGCAAATTGCCAAAAATTGAAAAAATCATACCGTCTTGACTGTTCATTTATATTTAAATTTTTCCATGTATAGAAATGTACATGATATATAGAATAAAGGACTAATTTGTGAGAGATTTTACGTATATTTTAGAAGATTTGTTCAAAACAATCAGTAAATTGAATTATAGTATGCGAGCAATAATTAATACTTGAATTCAGTTATTGAAACCTTTGATGATTGAGTAAGACAAATTGAAGTATTAAAGCTTCCAAATATTAAATAATCGAACGATCGAACTGTAAGTGTATAAGTACACAATAAAATCTATCTTTTCTTTATTGTTTGGAAAAACTCGAACTGCATAGTTGAACATCTGAACAGTTGCATTTCAATTATTCAACAATCCAATAAATAAAATTGTTTTCAGTAAATAAATTCAAATTTGTCTTATGACACCACTGGCAAAGTCTTTAAATTGGAACTCAATTCAAGTTTTGTAAAATATAGAATCAGGGTTATAACTATCACATTTGAAAATAGTTCTCATCATCATATTGTTAGTCATAATTGTTTCTTTTTCTCTTAAAAAATAGAAATGTTGCCTTTATATCAAAGAGAACGAAGAAGTTTCATCGATGGTGAAGCATTACCAATATCATATGAATTGGTTCCTTCAACAAATACACGTAATAAACGACGAACCATCGATGTTGAAGAAGATGGCTCGACTCTCAGTGCTTATTCTCTTCTTGAAAAATTAATCAAGGAAGATTTGGCAAAATCTGAGGATATGAATCGTGCACCACATGTTAGAGCATTATATGCTAAAACAACTCAAAAACTACCACGTATAGTAGCAAATACTCATTTATTTTTTATTGCTATCCATTTATTAACAAGCAATGACTATGAATTATTTAACTATGTGTCTTTTCGTGAAGGTAGTGGTACAGCTAATTCTATCAATGGGTTATCAAGTCAATTTTTGGAAACAGCCAAAAATGTTGTCTATAATTATATGAAAATGCATTTCAAAATTGAAAAAATTAAAGTTGGTGATGTTGAAGTTGTACGAGGAAAATTTATAATTGATGTAACCAAAGAAGCAATTTTAGCTGGATACAATCTTTTTAAATACATGCAGGACATTCAGCTTGCTGTATTTGACTTATCTGGTCTTGATGGCACAGTTAAAACACGTCTGGCAAATAGTTCTCGAAAAGTTGAAGAAGTTCGAAAACAATTGACGTTAAGGTTAATATTAATTTTCTTTTAATAAGAAGTCTAAGAGAGGTTTGAACTATAATAGAAAGCTTTTGTATTCGTTATCTGAAGTTTTTTGGAAAAAACGAAAATCATGGTTCATTCATTTTATTTAAAGATTGATGCTTCATTTTTAATCTATAAATTGATGGTAAACGTTGAACATAATTCAATACTTTATAACACAAAATATTGAGTGTATGAATTCGATTATGCTTATTATATTTCTACACAAGAAATATTAAAAATAGCTTCATTAGGTTTTCTATTAAGATATATATGAACCAGTATTATGGATACACTATTATTTCACAAGACGAAATCAGATGGTTTTTAAGAGTTGAAAATTTTATTGAACATTTTGTCTATTCAAGAAAAACTAAGTTTATTTTGATGAAATTTTATTTCAATATATTTTATCGGTATTATTCTTTGTTGACAATTCTGTTAGTATAAGATATTTTTCTTATTAAAATGTTATTTAAAGGAATAGAGTATTAAGTTTAACTAAGTGCATATACTTTTTTTAGTAATCCTTATTCATAAGTCATTTTGTCTCTTTTATTTTTATATAGCATGATTCAACCACAAGAATCAGATACTGCATTGATATTTAAATTGCCTAGTCCAATATTAAAACGAGTTTGGATCACCAATAAAAGAGATGCACCATCATGGGCAGGCATCTTTTCTCAAAGCTCAAAAAAATCTCCTAACAGTAAAACAACGGAGCGAGGAACAAAAGCAATTGATACTTTACTTGAATGCGGTCTCATTCATCAATGTAATTATTTACCAAAGAATAGTGGTTTATGGAAAGCTTCACCAGCAGAAATCTTGCTTTCAGAATCTCTTCAAATTGCTTTATATGAATATGTTGGAATTAATGTAAACCAATATGAACAATTGTATGAAGAATGGCTTTATCCAAGCGATCTTACGACAATGACTGAGGCATTAATCGACCATTTAATTAGTGCACCAGATATATATGCCAAATATTATCGTAATTATGCACCTGAAAAATTTACAGAATTTGGTTTACGTATTAAAAAGTTAGAACGTGATGGAGTAATAGGAAAAATTGAAATTGATGGTAAAGTTAAATGGAAATTCATTAATTATCATAATCCAGTCGATCATGAACAAAATGATAACATGAATAATTATGTTTTGAATAGAATTGAAACTTGTCAACTTGAAGAGATCTCATCCATCGAACATGGTCTGAAACGAAAGTTGACAAAGTTAGTGAAACGAAATGAAATCATCATTTCACCAAGTTCGAGTTTTATGGTAACACCAGCCAAACGTACTCATCGTGAACAGGACTCAATACCGGTAAACTTAATATATTTTTAAAAAATTATAGAAATAAAAGCTTAGATATTAAAAGTGACTTTATAAGATTTCAAAACAATTTTAAGATAACGATGTATATGTATTGGAAATATCTCAAGTACATTCATAGAAGTTTCGTTAAATTTATACGTTTCGTCTTTATGCTTAGTTCTGATTCTAATAACATTTTATATTTTGTCGGAATCTTTTTTAATCCAAATAATTCATTTAGAGCTTGGAGGAAGGAACTACTCATTTTCAAAACATTTTGTCATCGAACAACAATAATATTACTACTTCAAATCGTGAAAGTAGAGTAAATGAACAAAACACTTCCAACAATGTTAAAATGGATATGCATCGAACAATAGCTTCTTCACAAAATACTGTTGATGCTAATACAACTGATTGTGTCATGTTTACTTCTACACCATCTACTATTACTACTTCAAATATCACTTCCAAGAATAGTATACTACCATCAATTCATACAAAGAATTGTCTTGCTGCATCTTCATCTGATCTTGGGATGACGTCAAATGTAACCAGTCATAATAAAATAGTTTATTTACCGATGAATGTTGAAGTGAGTTTTTTTAGTCCTATTTCTCATATATGGATAATGAATAGCTTGAAAATGGTATGAGAGACCGTACAAGAAAAAGACAAATACTCTTTTTGTAAGGATATATCTTCAAATTGAAAGGGACAAATTAGGTTTTTTGTGCAGATGCATTTCATCATTGTTTTTCTAATCACATTGATGATAAAAATATTAACCTTGGAAATTCAAAAGCTTTAACTATATCAAAAATTTTGATGCTAAGGTAAGCAGTATTTTCAGGACAGAAAGTGTACATGGTCATTGTAGTTGATTTTCTCTGAAATCTAGATAGGAATAATCATTGCAATAACGGCCGTTAACTTTGCATGAAAAATATTAGTCACTTGCACAGTAGAGGCTAATGATTTAACAGAAAAAGAATTCGAAATAAAAAAAAATATTAAATAAATTGTCGAACGAAACTATTGAACAATATAAAGTCGATTGACAGAGTATGAAAATATTTAGTATATAAAACTGAAGGAAATAAACGTTCTATATCTTTAATGTTTGATATATTTATTTCTCTTGATCTTCCATTACACCAGCTACATTGGTTATTTAATATTTCGTCAGTTTGCTTCGTGTGTATTTATTGCATCATTTCTATTAGTATCATAGACATAGACGATTGTAAATAACTTTAGAAAATATTGAATGGCTCTAAGCAGTAATGGAAAGAATTTTGAAGTTTTTCCAAAGTTATATATCATAATGTATATTTTCCACATCTTAAGATGCAGAATTCCATATTGTAAGCACATTACGTTTAACTTTTTTCAATTTTGAAAAGTGTAGCACATTTCGATTATTCATATTTTTCATACTACTTGTAGAATATTGAATCATCACCAACTCCTCTTTGTAAAAGTGATAAAAATCTTATGAATCTCATCGGAATTACTTCATCTCCTGCTTATCCAATTGATTTACTTGAACCAACAGGAAATACACCAGTCGATATACCAAATATTACCTCATTTTTTGACAATTTATCTACTTATGCAAAACCTGTTTCATCGTTTGATGATACGGAAAACCAAGTGAATTTTAATAATGTTCCTGCTACTAATTCTCTTACATTATCACCAATTCTACCATTACCTATACCTACACCTACATCTGCTTTTAGTCATACCGATTCAGCTGCTTCATGTAATCAATTGGTAAATATGGACAATGACATACCTATTCTTCAAACATCATCTGAACAACATTCACTCCTGGCACGATGTGGAATTTCTACATATTCATCGACACCTGTCAAAACTTCTATTGGATTTAACTCGAATAAATCACCCGTATGTAATCTTTCTAATTCATTTGGTAACAAGGTCAATATGGCAACAAAATTGAATGAACCTAAAGTTAGATTTGTATCGAAGCAAACAGAAATAGCCGATGGTTTTACAGAAAGCTCAATTGAAATTACCAGTGAGTTTCTTTTGTTTTTATCTGTTATCAACTTCGTATATTTTTGCTTGATATATTATATTCTAGACCATCCAACAGATATAATTCCTGAAGATGCACGTGATGATATTCCACTAGGTGGACCAAAAGATAAGAACTGGAATCCAGGAAAATATGGTATTGCTCAATGGTCAAAACAACGTAGGTTACTTGTCTTAATGAAATAGTTGCATTTCAGAGTAAAGCTCGTCCATGTTAATGAAAGCCAGTTTTGACTAGAAATTTTGTTCTATTACAGAGCGAAAACGAATCGAACCGAACTCGAATTGATTTTTCAGAAGTTTATTCGAATCGAACTTGATTCAGAAGATTACAGTTCAGTTTGCTCTGTTTCCTACAATATATGAGGAAATTTCAATGATAGTTTTCTCTTCGTAGATACTATTATTTAATAACTACACGTAATATAAAATATTGAAGCGTGTAAAAGAAATAGTTCGAATGAATTATAACGAATACATGTTGTTATTGCAGGTATCATGTCATATTTGGATGAAAAAAGGTCTGACATATACAAAGTCATTCTTACTGGAAATTGGGGTGTCTGTGCGACAAAGTCAGTAATATCAAAAATGTTATCCAGACAATATTCAGGATTAGGCACTGGGGCATTATGTCGTTTGGATTCAGAGGGTCTTGTAAAACTGCAACCAATCTATGCATATATGGATGGTGAAAAGTATAAGATTGCAAATGGTTATTTGAAAATGGTGCCTGATGATAGTGGTACGAATCGTCGAGCGTTCATGAGTAAATTAGCAGGATACGAAGTTACAGTAGCAAGCTATCTGGAATCGTTTATTGATCGATCAAAAATTAAATTCGATCCATTATGCAACAAACCACTGATTTATACATTAACGCGAGAAAATGATATTACAGCATCAACTTATTTTTTCTCACCTTATTTTAAAGAAATTATTGAATCTTTTACTTTGTATAAAGAACGTCTACAAGTCGATACACATTCCATTTTGTGCAATCCTCACAAGGAGCGTCCAATCTATATGAATAGTAAAGGTTCGTTTAATATGCACTCCAATAACAGATTCGAGAAATATTCTTGCTAATCTAGTGGACAAAAAGATCTTTTCTATAACTTCTGCAGCTTTATTTTGATACTTTTTTTTGATCACGATATTAAAAATTTGGCAAATGAATATATAGGAAGTGTTTAAATGTTGGAGTATTAAATATTATTATTCTTTTTTTTCCTTTGCAGCTAAAGATGCATTTCTTCTTGAACAACAACAACTACGAAGTAGAGCATCAAAAAAGCTCAGGGATCAATTAGGTGAACCACCAGTGGTCAACAGCAAGCTTCGTTCAGGCAGTCATAGTAAAAACAAACATACAACTGGATAATTTCTTTTGCATGTTTGTCATTTACTTCGTTCACATTATTTTTCTATCTCTTCTAGTCATCCGATTAGCATATTGAAAAAACGTTCTATTCATTTTTTTAAGTTTAAAACAGATAAACTAGATTTTCTTTTCTTTATTAAATTTTGTTTCATTTCTGCTCTATTGTTCTTTACCTTGTTGGTTATTATAGCGTTTTGCTATATATATTACTGTACTGTGTTTTGTTCATCATTGTGATTTTTGTGAAACAGTACACTTTTTTTCTTTCAGTTTTTTTTTGTTAAGATGAAAATTGTGACCTTTAGTTGTCACAAACATAATTACTTTGTTTAGCAAGTAATTATCTTCGTAAGTTTGGTGATTCACTTTTTCTTCTTCATAATACTTATATTTCTTTTTTGTTCTCATTTATTTTTTCATAGATATTGCTGAACAATATTATTCTTGTTTTTTTTGTGAGTTAAGTTAAAGGACCATTGAACAAGAATAAAGCGATGAAAAATAAACTTAAAATAATAAGAAATGAAAATTATTTTTCATTATGAGTAATAAAAAATGGAATAAACGAAAAGTAGGCAGAGTTATAGCCAATAGACCGGTTTTACCGGTTTCTCTCACTTTCTACGGATGTAGATGAAAAGAAAAAAACGGCATATGCTTGCGCCTACAAGAAGAAAGAGAAATTGGTAAAGTTGGTTTACAGTTATTAACTTGGAGATAAAACTGCTATCGAAAGTATCGTACAATATCGTATACGATTTCTATGTTTATTTTTATCAATTTGTGCTTCCTTTTTAAGATAAAGTTTTTCTTCTTCTTTTTCAAAATGCAAATGGCTACTGCTATTGAAATTGATAATTTATCATCAATGATTCAAGATCTTGGGATAGAAGCTTTTATGATTGTAGCACGATTGGACGCTATTTTTCAACCTGTACCAACAAATCCACGAACACTTCAGTTCTATGATAAAGTCGAAATTTTTACTGGTATCTTGAATTTCCATTTAGCTCCAAAGGTATTCGTCGTAAAAGACGTCGAGATGACCTTAAATCTTGTCGAATGTAACCGTTCAATTGTTGAGCGGCTTCTCAATTTTCCTTCACTTAATGATATTATTCGAAAATTTCAAGAATATGAAACAATAACATCACAACAACTCAACATGGTTAATCCAAAAGTCCTCATGCCATTCATAAATATCTGTATTCAATGCAAAAAAGTATTAACTGATTATGGATTTGCTTATTCTACTCGAGTACTTTATATTGATCGAATTGAAGAAGCGTCTGTTATTCATGCACACTGTAAGCCGTGTCACTTGAAGTATAGCTGTTCGAGTGTTGAACAATGTGGCATGAGTAAGTTAGCTTCACATTATCTGTTGGATAGTTTTTGATATATAGAAGAAGAACAAAAAATTAGAAAAACGAGTTTCTTGAGTAGCATCTGTTTAAAAGAATCACAAAGTAGTGATAAAAATAAACTAAGACACACCAAAGGATTATCTGGGAATAAGATTTATCACAACATTTTGATCACTTCCTATGATACCTTTTTCATCAATAAAATTTATAACTTTCCATATTTATAGATCTGTCTCAATACTTTTAATACTATACTACCATATTCTTCATAAATTTTAGACTATCGAGTTGTTACAAAAGAATCATTCAATTTTTCTGATTGTATTCATTTTTCTGGTGATTTGGCTTATTCAAAAGTTCTTCTGCATTGGCGCTCTTCTCTACTCATCGACGATGATTCAACTTTTACAGGATTTTGTCGTTCTATCATTAACACATTATACGAACTTTATCCATCTTCGGCTAATTTCATTACTCCAAATGCTTTATCACAACGATTTGAAACAGTATATATTTTATGGGAGTTAGTTAGATTTGAGTTGATGCTTGGAAATGAAGAACAAGTGCTATTACCACTATCATTATCACCAGCATCAAGGGCAAGCTTTTTGGAAGGCTTTCTAGATTATTATTATTCATTATTTGTATTGTTCTGGTCACGTCATCAATATGTTCCTAATACAAAGTGTGATAAACAAATATGTTCAAAAGTAGCACTTTGTGATGGTCACCAAAAATGTGGTCGTATCGTCTGTGCTTACTCAGACATTGTAGATACTTCCATCGTCGAGACTGGTCCAATTAATGTTGGTTGTCCTTATGCACCAATGCGACGACGACATCCCATACAAAATCAGCAGGAAAACAGCACAAAAAATGAAACAAAAGGTAAAAATGAAGAGTTGCTTTTCCTTCTACAATTATTTCATAATTAAGAATGAGTAGCGAATGTGGATGCTAAAATAATCATTCACTATGCATCATTTTTATCCGAATCAATAGAACAATCTGCATTTGAAGTCTATTTATTGAGCTAGATAATAAAACATATTGACTTGTGGAATCTTTATATATTTTACGTCACGTAGCATTTCAAATAGTGAAGCTTTTATAATTGACTTGCTGTGTGCAACGATAATGTATGCTTCATCAGTGACGACTCATCTGACTTATACATAAAAGCCTGGAGCAGAAAAACTAAACATGCTATCCTAATTATATATATATATGTCACAGACAAAATTAAACTTTAGGCAAAATTGATTTCATATTAGGCGCATAATTTTAGTTTTTTTTTTCTTTTATTTAGAAAGGATTTCTAATTATCATTTGCCATCAGAAATTTCGACAGATCATTTGATTATTTCATTAATGAACACAAAAAAAAAATCTTTCCGTAGATACAACAGATACGATACATGTTGAAGGTTAAACTAACAGACCCAAGATTTTACACATAAAAGAAATTATTGACAAACTTTAAATTATTTATTTATTTAATTTTTCTTTTGTGCAATAGAATATTTTTAGTTCGACTGAAGATAAAAAATTCTTTTTTATATCAGAAATTATTTGCGAATTGAATACCTCACATAGCGTGTCTACTAATTAACATCATATGGTATCAGTTGTTTGATGATTATCTCTTTTCTTTTTATACTGAGAATGAAATGTGACTGATCATCTGTACAGGTATTGCTAAGAGAAAAACAATTGATATTTAATTTTTATTATTATCTTTAATAAAAAAAAACCTATTCTCAAACCATATAATTACAAATTAGTTTTATATATTTTATTTTATTTTTTTCCTTTCTCTCCTTTTTATCCGGTTTTTTGATCGGGCACAAGCCAGAAAATTATTCTTATGATAAACAAGTTTAAAAAGTCAATATTGTATTTTAATTTCATTTAGTTAACATTATATGGTATCAGCTGTTTGATGATTATCTCTTGCTTTTCTATATTAAGAATAAAATGTAAATGATCGTCTATAAACGTATGGATACAAAAAAAACCAACTGTTATGTACCTTTTATCATTATTATCTTTGATAAAAAAATAAACTATTCTCAAACCATACGATTACTAATTATACTTTATATATTTTTTTTAATTCTCATTTTGTGTTCTTCTTTTTCCATTTTTTCGTCGGACACAAGCCACAGAATTATTCTTATGGTAAACAAAATTGAGAAAGTTAATATTCTATATGGGTTTGATTTAGTTAAGATTATTTAGTATCAATTGTTTGATGATTATTTCCTTTCTTTTTATACTGAGAATGGAATGTAACAGATCACTTATAAAGTTATCGCTAAGAAAAAAAACAATGATATTTAACTTTTATTATTATTATCTTAATAAAAAAAAAATATATTCTGAAACCATATGATTACCAATTAGATTCATATATTTTGTTTTTTTCTTCTTCCAATTTTTTCCTTCTTTTCCTCTATTTTTTTTCTTTTTTCGGTCGGGCACCATCCAGAAAATCATTCTTATGGGAAAAAAATTGAAAAACTCAATATTTTATATTAATTTGGTTTAGTTAATATCATATGGTATTAGCTGTTTGATGATTATCTCTTGTTTTTCGATGTTAAGAATGAAATGTAACTGATCATCTATAAAGTTATTGCTAAGAAAAAGCAATTGATATTTAACTTTTATTATTATTATCTTAATAAAAAAAAACTATTCTCAACCAAACATTACTAATGACATTTTATATATTTTTTTATTCTCATTTTGTTCTCTTTTCTCTCTCCTTCCTAGCGAACTCTACATCTTTCTAAATCTAATAATGATTTTAATAGAAAAGCTAGTGAATTCTACAGCTTCCTAAATGTAATGAGAATTTAAATAGAAAAATCTACCGAACTCTACATCTTCCTAAATGTAATGATAATTTAAATAGAAAAGACTAGCGAACTCTACATCTCAAATTTACTATATACTTTTGAATGAAAATCATAAAATTTGTAATTCCACTACTTTTCATCAATCACTAAAACAATGAAATTTAATTTCGTTTAAAAATTTAAATTTTCAAAATCTAGGCTTAATTCTGTCTAATACTCAATTTTGCCTGACACATATATATAACTAGTATTTTTCGTGTCGGAATATAAAACAAGAAATCACTTTTTTAAGCAGTTGTATACATTGCAATAGTAATCGGGAAAGTGTCAACGTATAATTTTTTCTTTTTTTTTAATTTTCAGATCATTCTGCTCTGTATTGTCCAAGTCATCAATCATTCACCAATATCGTTCTTCCTCAACAATCAACCGAATTATATAAACTAGCTCATGAACTAGATCAAAAAGATCATAACTTTCTTCAACACAATACACAATGCAATGTTTATCGAGATGACTTAGACGATATTCACAAGAATAAAGGTTATGGAGTTTTAGTTACATTCCTATCTTGCCAAATAGTTATAGGTTTTGATGAGAGCATTCGTGCCGAGGGCATGAGGCGTGTTACACGCCATTTTCTCAGAATGCTACAACGAAAGGCAGAAATGCCAAATGATCTTGTCTACGATTCAGCCTGCACTCTTCGTCTTCATTGGCATCGACATATGGGGACTGCTTTTCTTCAGCGATCAAAACATACTGAAAAATTGATTAACATGACAGTCGTTATTGATCGGTTCCACATGAAGAATCATAAGCGTCAAATGTGCCAAGGAGAGATGAAGGCCGACCATCCCATTCACAATGGTAGATTCGACAAAATTAATACAGAATTATGTGAACAGTATTTTAATTATTTATCTCGTCTCAAAGCTTCACTTCGAAGTTTTAATTATCCAGCATCGTCAATTTTTCTTCTTCTTTTGTTCCATCTAAGAAACTGCTCAAAAAGTGGCATATCAGCATCAAGCATTGGTATTGCAAAATCATTCATCCCCTTCGACATGTTTGCAATACGAAAAAGAATGAACTCGTTAAGTCAAAATGAACATATACAAGAGCATGATGCTCCAGATGTATGGGGTGTCTCACATGACTACACGTAATAAACAATAAACTGTTATTTTCACACAACAGATTTTTTTAAATAAATTTTTTCATCACTCGTACTGTTTCACTTGAATTTCAAACAGCTCCAATAAAAGTACTTTTACACTAACATTTAACTGAGCAAAGCCATGCTACGAACACCAAAATACAAAAGCTACAGTTGCTCACCAAAACGACGTGCACTAAAGAGTTTCTCGTATCACACTTTTCGAAGAGAATCCTCTGTTACCTATGAGTAACAAAGTAATTGGTCTATCGAAAAGGGCGTGTACATTCACACCGATAGATTAGGACGTACAGATTCGGGGATATAGATTTCGACGTATACATTACTACGTATAGATTTCGACGTATGGATTAGGACGTACAGATT